TAGAGCACCTAGTGTTCACTAGTTGCCTTTCTTGACCATCACTCTTCATATCAGAGGGTGGCGTCTCATCATGGGTGGCGTCTCATCATGGCTACACGCTGCTTAGCGTGAGCTTCACTACAGGAGCGATTTCTAACACTGAACCTCCAGGCGGCGCTGGGCCAGCCAACACTGTGTCGAGCCTTTCCAACACCAAGTGTGTCAATAGAAGACTACGTGCTATTTTCGTGGCTTCAGGTATACCCAGTGTGCGTTGAGGAAGATATCCTATTGCTATTGTCATTGGCGCCAGGCTGTATTGGTACAATAGGCAACACGACTTGTCGGCCCACAGCTGCCGCCATGTTGTTACTGCCTTGCCGATGTCACGGTCGTGATGAAGGACAGAGTAGGCTTGCTCGCTATCGATCAGGCTGCGCTTCCTGCTCGACGGCTTTGGGAAACGTTGGGCAACGAGGTTTACGCCGCTGACAGCTAACCCGTTGTAAGCGTGTTGTCAGAGGCCCAAGCACTTCGACGTGTTTATCAAGCACAGAGCAGGCATTTCAGTGGAGATGTACATGAACCGATAGAAATCCCGCCTCTAGCATTGGCGTTTAACGAAGCGGTCTAGTTCTTTCAGTTTCCTTACGTCACGATTAACCGCGAGAACCTTAACAAGCTTCCTCGGCTGATCGGCTGTGCACGCCCAAACTTTATCAACCTCCTACGCATATAATGGAACTACCGTTTTTATTGACGGTACGCTTCGCAGTGCCCCTGCAGGCTATAAGCCGTGCGTAGTATTCATGGTACCTGACAGAGCTTCTGGGCCGTTTGTGCCTTTGTGCTACGTGTTGAGCATGGGGATGTTTTCGGGGACAGGATACATTTTGTAGTGCAAAGTAAAGGCCAGCAACTAGAGGCCGCCGAAGTTATGTGCGACTTCAAGAGTGCTCGGATTGACGATGTTCAGTCTCTATTTTCTACAATCGTCCTCCGTTGCCTATTTCATCTAAAGCAGGTTCTTAGACGAGCTATGAAGCGGTTTCTGATTCCGCAGAAGGAATGCTGTACTGCTCTCACCCGCGGTGCCGCTGATGGGCTTGTCGTTGTTGACCATTGCTTAACGAGGCGTACTACCAAGTGAGTGTAGTGTGGTATTCGCCTGCGTTGCGGCGTGGACGAGGTTTCCTACTTCAAAGTGAAATGGTGAGCGCTCTGGGGCCATTTTTAGCTTATGTGACAGGAAACATACGACTTGAGCGTATGGAATGTTGCCGGCCTAACAACGAGCTTATTTCACGGACAAATAACCCTTCAGAGAGGTTAAGATGGAGCTCAACAGCCATTTCCCTAAGCATCGCCATAGAGTCGCGTGTTTCCTAAGTGTCATCAAGACAGTGTAGGCGCAGTATGTTTAGCGTCTTGCTGGTATTTCGCGCGGGTGGGCACATCGCTTACCACGCAAGCTCATACAGCTACGGGCACCCACAGATACCGGATGACATTACTGATGACACTGAGGGCGAGGAACCTGCGGTAGTAGAGCCGTCAAACCACTCTTCAGAAGCGGGTGACGGACTAGGCGAGATGAATCAGGAAGAGAAATAACGAGTAGGTAGCTTCGTGGTAGCGAATCCTAACTGGTAGAGATTTGTACACGTTGGTAAACCAAAACGAGTTACCTGATCACCAATAGATTAAGCATGTCTGATCCAATAACTGATCTGTACCGTACATGACCCCAATTGGATGTAACCGTGTCCAGATCCTAGTAAATTTCTCTTTGCTGACCTATTTGAAATATTTTTCATTTGACAAAGGTGGCACTTGTGTAACAAACCCCTCTAATTAGGAGTGTTGGTCGGGACGTTCAGTTCGATTATATGCTACTGCAGTATCTAATTCTGGGTAGAATCGGGCGTTGCTCCTGAGGTTACCCAAAACTGTGAATACAAACTGAAATCGAGGAGAATGAGCGAGCAGTGATACGGACTAGATTAACTCAACAATCTATCAACACTAAACGGAAATACGTTGGTTACCACACAGAGTTTGTGGTTGGCGACCGGAACGCAATATCTGCGATCGTGACACAGTAACAAAAGGAAAACAACAATTTTTTTCTTCTTTTTACCGAGGTATTAGGTAGAAAATCGAAGCAAAACAGTGAGAAGTTCGTTAGGGGGTCTACGAAAAATGGTACGTGGTAGATGTTGATCGGCATTTCGGGGGCGAGGCTATCCTTCCCTTCCTCAACTTTTTCAATACTGTCACCAGATAAAGCAAATTTGTGTCCTTCTCGTCCGAGTTTGGGAGGACACGAAGCTGTGTATTTGACAATTACGGTAATAAACACTCCCTTGTCAACTTGACCGCAATGTGCTTGCTGAGTCCACACGCCGCATCAACGGCGGACCCCTGGACGCACCGACACCGGTTGGTGTGACTCGACGCCACGAAGCTTCCTGATAACCACCTGGTTTAACTCCTAACTGTCTACGTTTTAGAGATGTCAACGTTGTTGAAAACAGATGTATTCAACGTAAACGTTATGAATTGATATGCTATGCTTTTGAAACAAATACTGAACCTACCCTGAACATAATCTTTGAGTTTGTATGCATGGAATGAGCTCATGCAGTCGCTGCTCCTGCCCTACTCGGTCAGTGTTTGTTTTTGGCGATACAGACCAAGTCTCGAATCATACCGGTCGACAACATGGTTCACACTGTTTGCAGATTTGCGATCTCAAGAACTGCCTTTACCACCAAACAGATCTGACTTTTCCAGCTCGTTGCGGACCATCCTTAGAAAGGGATACACCATTACTAGTGTCGGGTAATTCTCGCCACTAAGTTTTCTCGTTGCTAACGCAAACGGCGCAAGCAGCTCCAACAAGCCGTCAATAGCTAACCATTCCTTCGATTTTGGACGAGTCAATCGTAGCCGTGGAAACTCCTTCTTGACTTCAGGACGAGCCACGTGAACGAAAAACTTATCTACTGCCTTCTCAAGCTGCAAAAGGCGAATAAGCATATCGTTTGTACTGCTCCATCTTGTAGGGCAATTCACAACGGTTGATAACGGGACAGTTACTCACAGGTCCTCTTTCTGAATCATCATCAGCCGATTTCCTCCAGCCTGCGACTTGTGAAAGTAGACTGTAAATGAACGAAAAATGCCCGACCGTTTTTCTAGTTTTGGCCACTGCATCACGTTCAGTCGCTGTCAGTTCGTCACTTACGAGTTGACCGACCTAGTCGATAGCAGGTCTTCAACTGCTGCCGCCTCAGCTTGCTCTTCCCCCAATGATGTTGTCTCTCAGTTCGGTTCGATGGGAAACGTGGAGCTTGATGCCACCAAGATTATTTACAACAAACTTCAGGTACTGCCGAAATCTTTCGTCTTCTACGAGGGCCATAGGTCGCTGGGACCGCACGAGCCAAATGGCTAGCCAGTCGTTGGTCCTCCGAGCTAAGCGCCTTAACCTTGAATCTGAACTGGAAGAGTCTCTCTTGTTTCCGCGGGGCTTCTTTTTATCTTTGTACCTGGAGTACTCCTGTATTTTGTGTTGATAATACGTTTCTACATGCTGCATCTCACCAGTTGTCTGTCCAATCGTCTACGGTAGCGCATAGCAGCATTCCAGACAAAACGAGGATTCAGCATGGCGGGATAGCAACGCTTCTTCTTTGATCTGGGAATACGCTGGATCCCCCTCTAAGCATGCTACGTGCCAGATTTCAGGCTGATGAGTTTTCTTCATACGATAGAGAGAATTCCCAGTGGCCTCACTCTCTTGCGCGGCTCCGGTTTGGGTTCTTCTCCTGTCATCGTGTTCGTAGTTATGAACGATTGTGCGCGTGGGAACTGTTGTAGATCGGTTGAGCGCAGGTTTACGAAACATGATCCTTCAACCACAACGGTTGGATTCAAGCTCTGTTTAGAAACCTGCTAAAGTCAAATGTTGACATCTCTACTACGTTTGCCACGATGCAACGCGAGAACGGATACGATCCATACATGAATTACTGAAGAATAATATATGTATATAGAAATTATAATGTCAGATAAGTCCAAAGTACATGTAACTGGTCTGGCCTGATGCAAGTACGAAGGAAACGCATCTCTATATATGTACATGCTCCAGCATGACAGTCTGAACGGGGTAGATGCAGACGAGAGCACACAGGAATCTTATTCACCACTCCCGTATGTTGTGTAGAAAACCCGACATGGTTCGTAGTTGGGTGGAGATTACAGCTGCATGTCGTCCCTTCAAAGGAGCAACGTCAACGTGCCTCGGATCTACCATGCGCTCGTGGCGCAAGCTTCGTGCTGCGAAATATCCACCGTCTCGCCAGTGCTGATTTTATAGTGATCTGTACAAGTCGCGACCGTGAATAATGGCATCATCAGGCCAACGTAAACGGAGTTGATCGCAGCGTTCCGATTCACAACCAGTTTGACCGTCCGAGAGCGATGGATCACCGTGTAGCTTACATCGGTGAAGGTCTCATTGACCCGAACGGGCTTCATAGCCTGGCCAACCTCGGAGATATCCACATCGACCAGAACTCTCCTCAACAGCGTCGGGAGGTTCTGGATGATCTGGCAATCGACATTAGTGAAATGTACCTTGACGATATCTACAAGGAAGATATAGACGGAGCCGACGAGGATAAAGCGGCAGAACAGATTCAGCATCCCTTGGCTGAGGTTTCGACCAATAGTCACGAGGTTGGACACAAAGAACGAGTCCCTATGAAAAACGAATTGGCTTGGCGTAATGTAAGGCAGCTTTTGGTAGAAGAAAAAGAGTAGGCCTCGACGCACAAGCGACGATATGCCAAGGACACCAGTCGATCCGTCGAACGTCTGCTGTTCGCAGTGAATCGAGTGATGACAAGAGCCGCAATACCGTCAACCAGCTGGATTCCATGGCGCCCTATAACCGGCAGCCACCGCAGCCAACCCAACTCTTCTCCCTCAACAACAACAGATCACGGCCGGATGTGGAAGTACGGCCACCACAGACATTCGCAAGTAAACTCGCCCAATTCGTGGGAGCAGGGAGTATATCCGACAACGAAGTACCAGCTCGAAATTAGCGTGTTCTTTATCAGGATACAGCGGGAAGACTCCTACCCGATGGCAGCAATTGGCCACGTTAGACCAAGTAACCAAAACCTATCAGAGGATGAAGCTGTCAGATGAGACTATGGCTCGAGTTTCAAAGCATTTGATCTCCATAGCCCAGGTCGTGCGTGAGGACATGGGTGCCAACCCGAGCGGAGACCGTCGACTATCGAGCACACGGGCGTCGAACGACTCGAATGACTCACTTGACATGTATTAAGGAGTAGATATACCACCCGCCCACCCCCAAGCGGACGTGGCTTCAACCGTTTAAGATTCCTTTTAAACTTTCTCTTCCGGTCACGTTCTATTATCTGTGGCTAAGTCAATGGGCTTGCTGACTTTTACAGCCGGGTTTTCCATCGTAGATATAGTTTTTCGAGTTTCACCTTTGAATTTCATAATTCGACCGAGGAAAAAATATCTTGCTGCGACACTGGATGATGTGGAATTAAGTCTTGTGAGAAGACGGCATCCTGTAGAATAACCTTGCGAAGATATTGAAGTAATTCTAGAAAACCTCCAACGGCGATGGACTGTTCAGCTTTACAGTCGTTAATTGCATCTTGCCACTTCTCAACCTGAGGAAAGATCTACACACAGTAGGCGAGTACGGTGTCTGTCTGTCTGAATGTCCGTGTGTTCAACGTCTAAGCGCATAAACCTATGGAGTTGCGTTGGCTTTATAACTCCTTTACATGCAATATCGCTTATCACTTAACCTACACCTACCTTCTAGAATTCTATTAGGAATGCGTAAATTACAAATATAGCATATTTACTAATGCGATGCGACATTGCTATTGGTCAATTTGAATTCTATAATTCTTTCATTCTCAAAAGGAAACGACGTCGGCAGCGACAGAGCTCATTACGCGAATTGCGCGGCAGCTAACAAGGATAGGAGCGATCGATCGGCGCAACCAGCGCGGGAATACATTGTAAGTATACATATAAATATAATACATATG